CAGTTTACGATTGTTTAATTTTTAGTTTAATACAAATTTAAAATAATATTAAAATTTCGACGTTCACGAACAATAGAAAAAAAAATTAATTTACAGAGATTCGCTGAACTTTGTACATCTGTTCGTTAGACACATCTGTCTTCTTTTAAACAAAACAAACCGCAGCTCTCTAGCTAAAGCGGGGGAGAAGTTATTGCCATTATTTACACTACGTCTCTAATTACCCTGCGGGGAGAGGGGAGTGGGGAGTGGCTCGGGTATTTGTAGGTCAAAGATTATCAACATACTTTTATAAGAGTGAATATTTGACACTTTTTACATATTTTTTCAACGTTTTATATAATAATAACCTATAATAAATGATTAGTTAATTTTTTCCTGCGATTACGCAATATCCGGAAGTAATGAGTTTCCCGGAAAATTTTTCAGCTGGAAGATTTTGATAAAATATCTTCTTGTCTAAATAGAGTCAAATAACATGAAAACTAGAAAAATTACGCTTTAAAATAATGAATATAGCTATTTTTTAACGTTTGTTTACATAATAACTTTAATCACGTGGATTGATTCTTCGCGGGAAAATCCAGACTACATGTTCTGAAAAAAGCTCTCATTCGTTAAAGTTAAATCAGTTATAATATAAATGACCAATTAGAGCGTAATAAGCGTAGAAACAAAAATTTTAAAGCCAATTAACAGGAAGAACGTCTTCCATAGACTTACTATAGAGAGGTGGAGCTTCCCGGGAATATCTCTTGCTAGATAGTTTTAAAAACATATTAATACGATTAAATATTGTCGAATTAGCTAATTTAATGTCTTAAAAAGTTAAATTAGTTAATTAGAGCTAAAAAACGATTTAAAAAGCGAATTTATTGTGATTGTTTACATTTTACTTCGAAGGTTGGAGGCGGGACTTTTCGCGGCAATTTTTCCTTTCACAAGTCTCTGATTAGTTACAGTAATGTCAACAAAGACAGAAGATACCCAATAAAACTTTAGAAGGAGTTTCCCTTTGATTGTTTTCAACAACTGTCTAGTTAACTTCGAAGATTTACTGTAAATAGTAGGGGAGTGTTTTTCCCGAAATATTTATGGCCCAGGGGTGGTGACAAAACGCTTATTGGCTTAAACAAAGTCAATCGACCTACAAAAGAGCGAATCATAGCTAAAATCGCAAGAAAACTCGAATATAACGCGAATTGTTCAATTTTTTTATTAAAACCGCGGAAACGCGGTATCAGCATCTCATTTTTTATAGGTGGTCACGTGATCCCGCGTTAACGCGGTTTCAGCAGGTGTAGAGTTAATCAGCCCACACAGATGTGATACAAATTGGTTGTTTGGTAGTTCTTCAGGTGCTATGATAGACTCATCTGATGGTAGGAGCTTATTCAAGCTGTTACTAGTGTAGTGTTCTTGACAGTAGCCCAAGCATCTGCTGCCATGTACAGTACATAGCAAGTTAATTTCAGTGTACACTTGCTGAATTGTTTTTTCACATTCTTCTCCAAGCATTAACATACGCAGCAATGCCTTTCTGTAATTTCATTTGAAGCTTTCAATGACCCCTTGGTCCATCGGTTGGAGGATGGAAGTAATGTTGGGAGGCAAGAATACAATTTTAAACTTTCCGTTTTCTCTTTCCAGTAAAATGTTTGAGGGATGACTTGGGGCATTATCAATCAACAACAAAACCTTTCCAGTATTCCCAGTTCTAAGCTGATGCTTTTTGACTTCAGGGATAAATACATTGTCATACCATTCTATAAAAATGCTTGCATCCATCCATGAATTCTTTTGATTTTTGTAGATGACTGGCAATTTTTTTATTCCCTTAAAGCACCGTGGATTTTTAGACTTTCCTACTATTAGCAAAGGTAGCCTGTGCGTTCCAGTAATATTTCCACATACCATAACAGTAATGCATGATTTTCTTGCCTTAAAACCAGGTGCTGACATTTCATTCTTAGAAACTAGGGTTTTTGTTGGCATTTTCTTCCAGTACAAACCAGTTTCATCTGCATTGTAGACATTGGTTTTTTTGTAACCATCCTTATCAATCATGTTTTTAAAAGACTTTTTCAAACGTTCAGCTGATTCAGTATCAGCCAAAAATTTTTCATCCTGGATGTCCAATTCCCTAATTCCATGCCTAGATTTGAAACACATAAGCCAGCCGGTACTCGCTTGAAAATCAGCATTACCCCCTAATTTCTTGTTCATTTGAAGAGCTTTTTCACAAATCAAAGGGCCACTTATTGGTTGTCCTTGGCTACGTACCTGCATGAACCAAGTGTAAACTGCAGTGTCCAAATCCTTGTTTTCTGCCATTTTCATTGTTTTTCTGTGCAAGTTTCCTTCTTCACTGTCAAGTACACTCGCAAATTTTTTAATGGCATCACTGTTATTGTAATTTTTCCAACTCCATATTCCCAAGCTAAGCTTGATCTACTAGCACTACTTTTCAACTGATCTATTATTTTAAGTTTATCGGAAACATTGAGAATAATGTGTTTATGTTTAGTTGCCATTGTGAACAGTACAACAACTATAGCACAATCTGTTACAAGTGTGAAATTCACAGATCCAAAATTTATATTGCTGATGAAAACAGATTCTGATTCAGCACGACACACAGTCCTCAGAAAAATCCACACAAAACAAACAACCACTCATAAATAGAAAATTAAGCCTCGTTTAAATACTGGCCTCCCTTTCATGGTTGAGCCAGTGTCGCCAGCTAAAACACGCAAAAATTTAACAAAAATAATATTAAAGTAGCCAAGTCATAGTCAAATATTGTAGCGCCACATCACTAGCAGGCATTTGAATTTGCCAATTAGAATGCGGTCAGTTAACCGATGTGATGGTTGATCGGGGGTCAGATAATCGATGCTCTACTGTACTTAATTGCTGTCAGTTTTTGCTGAACAATTGCATTTGAACAAGCGAGCACATTATCATGGTTAAACAGCACTTTTTTCTTTATCATTCTCGGATGATTTTTCTGCATTGCTGCTTTGAGCTCGTCCAAAAGTGTTGTATAGTATTGGCCTGTGAAGTTTTTCCTTTTTCAAGACAGTCAATTAACAAAATTCCTTTGGCATCCCAAAAACCTGATGCCATCATCTTGCTGAACGAATGTTCTTTGCCTTCTTGACCAGCTCACCATCTCCAATCCATTGTTTTGATTGAATTTTTGTTTCCAGTTTGTCCAGATCTCATTCATTGCTGTCAGAGTAAATCCAGATCTCATTCATTGTCGTCAACTGAAATCCATTGGATGATTCTTAAACAATTCCAAACTCTCAGCTAAAATTCAAAGCTCAAATGTGTTTTTGCTCTGGACTGAGCAAATGCAGCATTCATTTTTCAGACAATCTTTTTAAGTCTAATTTGTTATGCAAAATATAAACTATTCATTTGTAGGAGATGTCCACAGCTTCCTCAATTTCACACTTTCATCAATCACCTGTGTTATGGATTTTATCCACAATTTCTGGAGTGGTAGCAGTTTTTGATGTCCTGAACATGGTTCATCACATGGGTGTGTGTGTGTACGCACACCCATGAATTCCAAAACACTAAAACTTACCATGTTAAATGAATGTGATGAATCGCCAAGAACATTGTTCAACTTGGATTTGATTTCCATTGTGGTTTTTCCCTACAAATGGAAAAATTTGATAACAGCTCAAATTTCATTTTTCTCCATGTATGAACAGGCACATGGGGTATCTCACTTCAATGCTTGTAAAAACCTAACTATTGGTCAGATTGATGTGAAATTTGGAGTCAATACATACAAAAGATTTGCTAATGCAGCATGAGAAAAATATTTCCAAACAAAACATCCCCTAATGGGGATTCTGGAAACTTTTCAATCCACTCTCATATACAACCTAAAACTACACCATTGCACTATTTTCCAACATAGTCTCCTGCCAAATTTAAATACTTATCATATCACATTACAAGTTTTTGTATTCCAATATCATAGAACTCCATCACTTGTGATTTCAGCCATGTGTGGATGTTTGACTGCAACTTCTCATCAACATCAAAGCACCATGATGCTAACCATAGCTTCATGTGCATTAAAAGATGGTAGCCACTAGGTGCCAAGTTCAGGCTGTACAGAGAGTAATCAAATAGTTCCCAATTGAATTGTTGCAGTTGTATTTGAATGTGCATGTATGCAAGTGAATAGTTTTTTTTTGAAAACACTGCACCATTGCTCAATTTACACTCATTCATTATGTTCTCTCCATACACTTTACAGAACTGACAATGGATTTCAACAGTTTTACAGTTTTTAGCTAACAGAAATCTTATCACTGAGTGCACCTCACAGCTAGTGGGATTCTGAATGGCAGCATACATTTGAACAGCAGTTGTTGCAAGATGACAGAGAACACAACCTGTACTCTGCCACAGTTGGATATGTATTGACTCACTCTATTACTGCTGCCAAATATGGCACTGTTATCTCCATCAACACCAGCACCATGTTAAAACAGAAGTTACTTTCCAGATAGTCCTCATAGATAAGATAAAAACAAATCTCGAAATAAGTAAACAACTATCCTTCTTAAGAGCTTCATTTTTCACCCAATTGTTTTCACATTATATGTCTCCTTTGAAATTTTTTAAATTTCAGCAATCATCAAGTAATTATAATTGGAAGTTACCATCTTTGTTGCCTTTTAAACCACAATGTTTGCAATGCCACCTAAATCACAAAATCAGTATTTTTCCCTACTAATGTGATATTTTTCTAATAATTTTTCTAATCCATGTAGATTTATTCAATATTTTGTAAAATGCAATAATGAAAGATAATTGACAACATTGTGAGAAAAAATCTGTCACCTTTATAGTTTAATATTAAAAATATTTTAAATTTTAAATTACCCATAGATTTTCTTGGTTTACTTCTTGGGCTACTTAATTCATGGCGGCGATCGGGTAACAGGTGATATGTTTTAGCTTCTTCCAATAACTCTCTGCACTCAGGTGAATTATATATTGCCGGGACTGTACTAACACGATCATTCAGATAATATGGACTTAATAGAGGAAGTCTTATATGTTCCATAATCTAATTTTTTCAAATTCAAAAAATTTATATTAGTTTCAAATCAATCATGTCTAAGAAATATTTTACATTATTCTTTTAAAAATTACTAAAATAATAAACTATTAATTTTAATTACATTTTTAATTCTAATTACAAATTACTTTTCTATAAATATAAAATTTATTAGTAAAATGGATTGGCATTTGTATTTTATCCAGGATTAATAATAATCAATCTTCAAATAATCTTAAATGAAGTTAAAATTATTCAATAAATCAAAATATTTTAATAAGATTTTATTCTTATGTGATTGATCTTTATATTTCTTACTGGTTTTAATTAATATTAATTTATGCCATATTAAGACACATAATGAAAAAAATAAAAGTCAGAACTTAATGAATTCATAAATAGGAGAAAAAATTATTATTTAAAGATTTGTATTTAAAAATTTTATTTATTGATTTTCAAATTAACAGTGAAAGGAAAAATATTATGAATTAGATCTCTACACAGTAAATTAAACAAGTTTCTATTAATTTGTTTTAATTATCTTTCTTGCATTTCTTTCAAATGTCTTAATGCTTCCATATAAGAAAAAATATGCAACATCAACTGAAAGAAACACTTTATTGGAAGAACTGAAAATAACAACAACTCTGAATCTCATTTGATGGCTATTTCAAAATGTTTTCTCTATAAATGAATTTCATTCATTCTCTCTTTAGACAATAAAATAAATAATATTTCTGAAACTAATAAGTAATTAAGACACAATTTCATTAAAAAAACATACAAACTGATTTGTTAAAGATTAAAAGAATAAAAATTTTACCTTCTCAAATTCTTCTTTCCTGACTTCAACATTATAATTAAGCCATAAGAGAACTGCTTCAAATACATCTTCTTCTTTTTCAACTTCAAGGTCATCACTACTTATAAATTCAATCAATTTACTTCTACTTAAAGTTAAAAATTCTTCTTGTTGTACTACATCTTGAAAATACCTATTTCACCATTTTTGAGGAAAAATTGTTTTTAAATTAATGCAATTAGAACATTTTCATTTCAAAAGTTTTTATTCAAATTTTAGTAGACCATTATCAAAAAATGAATTTATCTGATCTGAAAAGCATTTTTAATATATTACAAACAATACTGTTACATAATTACACTTTCATTTTAAATAATTTATTTTTCAATTAAATGTTATTTTTCAAATTTATCATTTATAATTTATTTCCATTTTTAACTGAATGCATGTATTGTATTATTAGTGGAAGTGATAATGTAATAGCATAAATAATAATTTTTTACATGTAAAGTTTATTAAAACATTTAAAAATATATTTAGTATGTCGCAGAAAGGATAGTCTAAGTTTATATTTTTAGGGTCTGTAAAAATTAAAAACTTTGAGAATATTAATAAACCAAAACATGCACCTTTTCCTGCTATTTTGATATTTGACCTTTTACCTTTAAATGTCAAAATGATTCAAACTTTAAATTTCAAGTAGAAATCCACATCTTGTAGTACATCATTTTAAAGGATTTTTAATGCTGGATTCAACTTTGCAATCAAATTCAAAATCAAACAAACCATCAAGTTACATCAAAACAACATGCCACAAGACATTGGATACTATTTCAAATTTTAGTTACAGCCATTTTGATTTTTAAAGTCAAAGGTAAAAACATCAAACTAGTACAAAAATATTCAGTTTTTTGATCTATTGACACCCAAAGTTTCAAATTTGTATATTTACTAGGATCAGAGATATAAATCTTGAACACCTTTCCAAGATGCAATATACAGGGTGTCCACTAAATATCTATCCAGATGCAAAAGAGATCATTCCAACATTGGTTAGGTTAGATTGTACACTGCATCAAATACAAAAACACCATATATTATTTTGAGCATGACATGCACCCATTCTGCTGCTATCTACATGCCACACAGAGTTTTGATAGTGACTAAGATGTTAAATTTACAGCATGATGAATCACAACTTTCTTTAGCACATTTTATAGAATGATTAAGCATTGTTTTCCTGGAATGGAGTATATAACAATCACAATAGCATTTGTGTGCCATTTGGCATAGAATGCTCCATGTTGCAAGCAACATGCACAACACCAAGTATGTTTTACCCTAAATATCTGGGGTGTGGAATTTGGGGTGAGCAACTTCTTTGTCCCATACTCATTGATGCCACTCCAAATAGTGACAGATATCTATACATCCTAAATACAACAGTAAACAAATGGCTTGATGATTTGCCATTGGTGCAACTACAGTAGGTTTGAGTACCAGCAAGACACTACTTCCATTCCCCAACAGATGTGCATCAGTAGCTTGCAGAATGGTTTGGCAACCTCTGAACAGGACAACACAATCCTGTTCCATGGTTACCAATTCCCATCCATAATGCTACATTCAACATCTATGTCTCTATATTTCCACTAAAAGTGGTCATTTTGAACATTGAGTTAACAAAAAAGAGCTTTTTTTTGTATCAATTTCTGTTATCTTTATCCTTTACAATCAGAGATTACTTTTATATTATGCTAAATCATCTGAAATTGATTCCCTTCAGTTAAAATAACTGAAGGGAATCAATTTAAGATGTACAAGTGTATGTGCATGGTGCATGCTTACTCCAGTGCTAAAATAGCACTGGAACAAGCATGCACCACATGCATACACTTGTGTAATGTTGAAAACATTTCTTTTGTCCCTGGATAGATGTTTAAGTGGACACTCTTTATAATTAAACCAAATGATCTGCCAAATTATCAGGCTATTATATAACTATGTAAATGTAAACAATATGTTGACTAACATGCCAAAATTAATTAATAAACAAAAACAAAAACACTGAGTTTGGCGTTATATGCGTTTTATTATCGCTAGTACTTTCGACGAGCTTATTGTCGTCGTCCTCAGGCGATTTAAACAAAAAATAATCGAACGCAAAATAGAACGCGTAATATAAAATTGAAATTGTGCTAAAGCCGTTAAGAACACGTAGAAATTTAAACATAATTCGAAAACCGAACGAGCAGATAGCTCCGTGAAGTGCGAGCTGGCGCATGCGCAGAGCTATGCTCTCGCTGCATGCATTCTAGAGACTACGAGTACTCGCTTAATCGCTTATACAACGTGACCCATACACTGGGCAGCTCAAGGGTAGGGGTGTTGCAAGTGTCCAAGGTGGTAGTGAGGAGAGATTCCCATATAAAAACAGTTTTTCGATCTTTGCAGCTCTTGAGCATAACCGCTTGGGACCATAGCGAGTTGTAACCCTGCTCAAGTACCTTTTTTGCGAGCTCGGTGGTGTGTCTTCCCCTCATAACATCGTCTTGGTGCTCATCAAGGCGGCTGGAAAGCATTCTAGTGGTGGCCCCGATATATCTTGTATTTACTCCCATTGCCTGATTTTCCAACGGTACAGCATAGACCCCCGATTTCTCAAGAATGGAAAATTTGTCTCTATCATTGCAAATAAGTTTGCGTAGGCTTGGAAGTGGGGTTAAAGGTAGAACAAGGTTGTGCTGCTTAAAGATTCTGCAGATACGTAAAGATATGGGTCCAAAGTAAGGCAACGCTACTTGAACCTTTGAAGATTCTCTTTTGCTGCATAAAGTAGTACATGGAAACAGTGCCTTGTTTACCTTATTGAGCACATACGTAAACTTTGCACGTGAAAAGCCCGCAGCGCGTACCGCCATATCGATGATCTCTAATTCGACGTTTATCAGCTCCTGCGTAGACGACAGTAAATAAGCCCTTCTGACAAGGGAGGCAATGGCAGTGTTAACGTATCGAGAAGGCTGAAAGGCCTCAGCTGGTATAATGTGCGGGGCCATGCCAGATTTGTGATAGACCGAGAATTGTAGTCCTTCCGCGAATTTACGTATATGCAAGTCTAAGAACGCTACTTCCGCATCCCTTTCTTTTTCCCAAGTGAAATTGATGGAAGGATATATACTTGCGAGTTGTTGCATGAAGATGAGGAACGACTCCTCTGTGTCCTCCCATGCTATGAGGATGTCGTCAACATAACGCAAATACAGTCTCGGGTAATGGATGGCAAGCGGGAAATCGAACGTTCTGCGCTCTATCTCTCTCATAACAAGTTCCGCTAGGATAGCGGATAAAGGGGAACCCATTGGGACCCCTTGTTTTTGCAAATAGATCTTTCGATTGAAACAGAAGTAATTGTGCTCGGTGACGAAGGTGAGGGCATCACGTATATCGAGCACCTGTTGGATGCTAAAGCCCTCTTTTAGAAGCAGCGAATTAGCCAGCATTACAGCCTCAAAGNTAACCAATTTGGCTCTAGAGGTAAGCGTTAGGCATCATCTCTTATTAACATTAATAATTATAAATAAATTAAATAATTTAGAACCACTGGGAGAAATTATTTAATTTATTTATAATTATTAATGTTAATAAGAGATGATGCCTAACGCTTACCTCTAGAGCCAAATTGGTTACGTAATTAATTTAGTAATTAGCCTTAAACTAGCCCAATAATTTTCGGCATTCGGTTGGTATTTAGTTAATTTTAATAATTATAAATTAATTTTTAATTTGGAATTACTGGAAGAAAATAATTAGCCTGGAGCGAGACTTGAAGCTGCAACTCCTACATACCATGCAGATTCATTGCCACTCTACCCAGAGCTCCATCCAATCTTCACTTCCAGAACTATTAATTTAGATATAATAACACTGGTTAACCACAGCACTGACTGAGGATGATTTCAGTACTCACTGTCTCTCTCTCTCTCTCTCTGTGGCACTACTCAGCCATCTATCGCTTTTATCCTGGCATGGTTTATAAATATCAACATCATCTCTAAACCTGAATTCATAGTTAAATTATTAGAAACTAATCATTAGTTTCTAATCATTTACTTAGTAATATAATAGCCCAATAGGTTGGCAGATCATTTGCTTAACTATAAAATTGGGTTTAGATATGTTGATATATCTACACACACCTTTTACAAATAAGTTACTTGAGAATACAATTTCAATTAAAGCAAGCTTATCAGTTATATTAAATAAATATCAATATTTTCTATTATTAACACATTAAAATCCAAAATACATTTGAAATAATTGTAATATGTAAACAAAAATTTTTACCTTATAGTCCCTTTTACTATTATAAATCATTATATTATTATTATCTATTACCGTATTTTACAGACTATAAAATGCACTTTTTCTTCGAAAAATTGCCTCTAAAATTCAAATGCGTCTTATACTCGAAATTAATATAAAAATGTCCAGTGTTTGATTTAAAATTCCTGTCAGTCTTAAAAATGGCCATATATTTGATGCCGCGAGAAACCTATCTCTATCTGGCAACATTGAATTCAACTGGCAGCAGCAGTGCACTGATGTGATGAACATAGGTGCATTCTTTTATTCCTCCGCATAACTCCACGCGAGCGACAACTGTTTAAAAATTCCTGCGGAACGCATTCCTAAATTCCGGTCGGAGTGCACGCTGTCAAACAGCAAAAACGACTGCTTGTAGCAGTAGTTTGCAGTGGAAAACAACACGGCATCCTCCATGGCTCAGATAGTTTCGTTTCAGGGTCCATTATGTGGTTTTATGAATAAAAATTTAGAAGTTGTGAAAGTGCAAGTTACTGCACGCAGTGATGTAAGTGTCTTTTCAAATTTTTTCGGATGGTAGCAGGCATTCTAATTTTTTTGTGGCTATTTTGAATACTCTTTCAACAAATAATCCATTTTATGGGTAAATTTTACAATTGGGACTCTTCTTTTGCCTTTAAAAGCTCATATTTTAGAATTATAGATTCCTCCATCACGATACTATGGATAGTGCAGGAGCAGCCATCTTTCTTTCTTTCACCGTCGTTGCTAAAAGCCTATAAACAGCAGCACACTCCTGTAGTAGCAGAGACGCAGAGCGACCGTTATTAATGAACGCACCCCATGAGTTGCAGGGATTCACAAGCTTGCTAACACTGTCTCCCTCCCGTCCCGCCATCACAAACCCAGAACACTGTCTAGCCTATGATGCATCATTGCAGTCTATGGTGCCAGTGAACTTGAATTGAAAGTGATTTGTGTTATTGGTAACAGTACAATATTTTTGTTAGTAGCTAACAAAAGTTATGGTAAAAATGTTATTTTTTTAAAAAATTGCTTAAAAATTAAGGTGTGTCTTATAGTCCGTAGCGTTTTATAGTCCGTAAAATACGGTATATGAAAAGACAGTTTTAAAATAAAGTATAGACATTTGATGTAAAAGTTGGAATATTAAAATATATATTATATTACAAATTTACACAGATGAATAAATATTTTTAGATATTATCAATTTTATTTTTGTTGTAACAAAATTGACAATATTTTTAAACACAAAATAAATTTTATAAGTGAATTACATTTAAAAATTATTAATGAAGAAACATATATATATAAAAAAACTCATTTTAATTAATTTTTATTGTAATTAAAACACTTACTTTAAAGCAAATTCTTTAGCCTTTTGTTGAAGTTCAATACATGCATGAGTTTCAGCAAAGCAGTGAATTCCTAGACAATTTGATTCTTCCATGTGGCATTCTAAAAATCGACAGCAAGCATCTCTGACAGGGAGCACTTCTAAAAGGTTAGCAGCAGATAACAAAACTTGGACATTGGCTTTACTTATAACTACTTGAGCTGTATATGCATAATCTAGTAATAACTGTAGAGTTTTTGGTTCAACTCCATTTAGCACAACTTTATTCTGTTGACTTTCTGCCATCTCCCCAGCAAACATAGCCTATATTAAAAAATGAGAAATTAATAAATTATGTGTTTTATATTATTGCTAAAACTGTAAATTCTATTTAACCATAAAAAGCACTATATATTTAAACTTAAATAGATAGTATCTGCAATTATTGAATATATATTGATTTATTTATTTCTAAAAGCTACTAAAGCAAGTAATCTTAATTTCTTAAATATGTATTTATTGTTATAAGAAAATAAATTGAGAAAAAACAAGATTTTTTGCACAAAATACAAAAAAATGGATTGATTATTTGGAAAAACGTATCTGTTAAATGATGGTTATGTTGCAAAATGAATAAGTATGATGAAATTAAATGCTTTTACTACTTTCTAAACTATATCATACACATTGTACTATCTCTTCCCAAATTAATGTTATAAAAATGGAGACCTTATCAGTTATTTTATATAAGCGTAACATGTCTGAAACGTGAAGATACAATGGCTAGTATTCATTCAAAACATTTTTATTTGACAAAATGTCCACTACACCTTATTTACTGGTACATGCATTATTTTTATGCATAATTGCCACCATTGTCCAAAGACTTGTTAAGTCTGGAATACAGAAGCTAAAAGCAGTCATAGAATTCTACCGCTTGTTGCCAGAATCACATTTCAACTTCATTTTTGATCTCATCATCATCATGGAAGTGTTGTCCTGCAAGATGTTTCTTCAGATAAAGAAACAAGAGGAAGTCACTGGGAGCAAGGTGTGGGCTGTATGGTTGAAAACTTCCCACTTGTATCATTCAAAAAGCATTTTGGTGACAATTGCTGTCACAGCTTCATGAAGCATGGACTTCTAGAATGATTTCATGCAATTATCTTATCATGAAACACTGATTTGCATGAATTGCTTCATCAGTTCTTTGAAAAAATTTGTCAAAGATCACAGATGGCCTACCACTCCTGTGTTTGTCATGAAAATTGGTCCTACCTCCAAAGAAGCATAGCACCACTTTTTTACATTTAGTCGATTCATAATGTTCTCATAAACAGAAACAATTTGTTTTGAATATTCACTGGATGTTCATCTTTTGCATTGAGAAGATGTATGATGAAGCACACTTTACATTGGTGGGATTCTGAATCAGCACAGCCATTGTAAACGCGTGCTACTTGAACCAGACTCAATGTAGCAATGACGAACGAGCGCAAATAGTGTGTGAAAGGTTCAAGGTAAAATTGACTGTTGTCAACATATTCACTAAAAACATTAGCTTTCTGCTTATATGTGATATATCTGTACTTTTTGGACACATCTCATATATAGTTATTACTAGATTAAGCATACACTGCTTATATATATATGAAATGACTAATGAAAATAACTATATTTTTCTCAATTTATTTTCATATAAGCAACTTGCACTTTGGCATCTGGTGAAAAGCACTGATCTTTGAACGTCTTTAATTTTGGGAACAATCAGAAGTTTGATGGTCGAAAGTAATACACAGTCAACCCCCCTATAACACAGGTTCCTATAGTTCGGATTCCTATATCACGGCGAAAAAATTGCGACAGTATTCATACAAACATGCTAAAAAAACTCCTATAATTCAGTAAAACGTCATCGCCGACTCATGTCACAACAGGATTGCACAAACCGTTGAGTTAAAAGAGCAGTGGACCTATTAAAAACCATTTATTATTTAACATCCATAAAAATTATATTTATATTAACGACGTCTCCAAAGTTCAGCGAATTTTTTGCAGAAAAAATAATTTATCAGGAAGCACACAAGCGCCATTTGACGGCAATCTCCACGACGAAAACAAGCTTAAGCAATGATGTAGTCGAACGGTGCACACTCGGTAAGTAATCCTACAATTTTTTGTTTATAGCATAGTTTATATGGATTATTCCCAAAAAGTTATACGTATTTTGGAAATGTTGAGTCGAATTAGTCTAGAATTGATTAATTTTATGGAAGAATCCCTTCAAACAGCTGTAGTCCATAAACTGTACATGTGCCGGGCTGGACTCCTAGAAGCTGGATTCGTAAAATACAAAACGTATCTACCGTATTATAGGGAGGTCCACTGTACAAAAAATTTTTTAAAATAATTTATTTACACAAAGACATGTATTACACTTGTTATTTTTCTACATAGTTGCCTTCTTTTGGTCTAAGCACAGTTGCCAGTGCTCAACCCACTTGTCACAGCATGTTTTGGATTCTTCAGGTTTTAGTGACTGGTAAACTGCAGAACCCAAATTTGATCTAAATAAGAACCATCCTCCTCAAGGAGGAAATTTCAATGTTTCAAACAACCAAAGATCACTAGAAACAAGATCAGGTGAATAGCGGTATCTAATGGTCTCAATACACTGTTCCAATTAGAAATTCTGTGACAATTCACACTCAATGCAGTAGTGCATTGTCTTGATGAAAAATTTGTAAGCTTTACCATTTATTGAAAATGATATCTCAAGTACAATAGTAGTGATAACAGAGACTTATCACACTGCCACTGATAACGTTAAAATGACACTTCTACCATCAGAATGCAACTTTATTACTGGTATGCATTTCTGTACACAAGACACTCATTGGCCATACATAAAAATAGATATGTATCTGTTGTAGAAACGAATTCACAGAGAAACTGATAATACATGTTTAAGATTTATTTCCACCTACACTACAGAGTACTATGAGGATTACATTATGAACAGGCCAACAATATCTAAACAGACCTTTCATAATGTAATCCTCATAGTACTCTGCAGTGTGGGTGGAAATAAATCTTAAACAGGTAGGTTTTAAATTGTAGATTGTAATTTTTATCAGTTTCTCTGTGAATTTGTTTCTACAACAGATACATATATATTTTTATGTATGGCTGATGAGGGTCTTGTGTACAGAAATGCATACCAGTAATAAAGTTACATTCTGATGGTAGAAGTGTCATTTTAACGTTATCAGTGGCCGTGTGATAAGTCTCTGTTATCTCTACTATTATATTTGAGATATTATTTTCAACAATTTTTCAAGATAAGCTCTTTTATGATTCATCATTTATGATAATGACATTTGAAACAGCACAGAAAAAGACAATACCTTTCTGGTTCTAGAAAATCACAAAGAAAACTCTTCAGAACTTACAATCTTCTTTGCTAGAATGTTTTTAGCAAAGAAGATTGGAAGTTCCTCATATGAACCAACATGTGTTTAAACAGAACCACTCCACTATTATAAATACCTGCATTAAAACCATTCAGCAACCTTTGTCTGATTGGAAATGGAATGTACCATTACATGTCCAAACTGATATGAAGATCTTTTTATACTATCCATCAGCATATTTAAATTTTAAAACATTTTGCAACTCTAAAAATGTCATTTTAGTTAGGCAAAATTATAAATTTGAAAAAAACTCCGAATAATCTAATATTGATAAAGTTTGTTTTCAAAATATTTTAACTCTTTCCAAACACCTCATAATTAATCCTTCAAATTCTCATTTTAAAAGCAGGTCTTAGTGAACTAGTCTAATAAAAATTGAAGAATACCTGAATTTCAATATGCATTCAACAGCAATAAAAGTATCAAAAGAGCAATCATTTTATTGCTTTCACTAGTTCAAATACAATCATCTAGGAAACATCATAAAGTATATGATACATTATAATAGATCTGGAAAAAAAATTTGACTCTTTTTATGTGCCAAAGTTAGTGGAGAGAACTGGAGGGAAAAGAAGCTGCAAGTCTGTTTACCAGGCCTATTTTATCCTTATTTATAAATCAGAAAATAAGCTTAGTATTAAATAATGATATTTACCCAAAATTTTGGTCTCCTACAAATATTCCTCAAGGTGACTCTCTTTCTCCTTACTTAAATTTTATTTTACATGATGTAGAACAACTTTTTATTAATTCCTCAAATAGTATTCAAGTAAACAATAAAGTTTTTAATGTAATCCTATAGGCTTATGATTTGATTCTATTGACTTCAAATACAGTGATTTTGCAATATAAAATTAACATAAAAACATTTTTGCATAAAAATCGAACAATATTTACATAAAGACAACTTAACCCAGGATAATCTTCATTTTGAAGTTTTAAGACTTACATAATGATATTTATACATTTGAAATGCATATTGAAGTTAATACATAACAACAAAATAAAATAAAAAACAGTTACTTTAAGTCATTTGTAGTCATGTGGTAAGTTTGGGAAAAGGCATTACAATAAGCAGAAGTACATCAAGATTATTAAAGCCAAACAAGAAGCAAATTATTCTATTAACAGGTTTTCTTGTTGTCTTTTCTTTCTAAAAAGAATGTCAAAACTACTGATAAAAATTTTAAAGTGATAACACGATTCAACCAATATTAAAACAAATGTTTAAGTTAAAAAATGATCATTTAAACAAGAATAAATTATGATTTTTATAAATTTATTCATGTTTTAAATACATTAGGTGTTTCAAATATATTGTTTGAAAAATATCTGTTTAAACCCAAGATCAGCCAAAATTGTCTTAATCTGTTTGAGATGAAATCAGCTGAACGTAAAGTTGTTTGACTGGTTTTGCTATACAAGTTTCCCTTGTAGCCTGAGGGGTAAAACCAATTTCATCTTCAGGTACATAAAAAGAAGATACATGTAGCCCTCGGTTTATGCCGCAGTTCCGTTCCTACAAAAGCCGGCGCAAATCAAATCAGCATAAAACGAACCCATATTTACAGTGAGGTATAGGGTTAGGTTCTACATAAGTGAAAAATAAGCAAATAATATTGTTTATTAATACAATATAATATAAAACACATATAAATTTTTAATTTTTAAAATGTATTTTACCATAAAATGAAGTGAAATGTTTTTATTAAAAACTTCAGTTTCGGATCTCTTACATTTTTCGGAAAAAAGTATCCATCTTTAATTGTTTACATTTTTGTTTTCTTTCATTGAGAATTTCAGAATATGGTCGAATGGATGCAATGATGCTTCTTTTTACATTTGCACTTCGCTCCAATTATTATCTAACTCACAGAGTTCATCCGTCAAACTTTCCATAGTTGAAAGGATACATTAACCTGATGTAGAGCTACAGACGAGCGTAGACNAATGGATGCAATGATGCTTCTTTTTACATTTGCACTTCGCTCCAATTATTATCTAACTCACAGAGTTCATCCGTCAAACTTTCCATAGTTGAAAGGATACATTAACCTGATGTAGAGCTACAGGAGAGCGTAGACACTGATTGGTCGACCACTTGTCGCCGTAGCACATGTATAAGGTCAGTTTGAGTGGAAAAATTCAAGGTGGCTAAGGAGAGATAGATATCGTCTGGCCAACGAGAAGTAGATTTGTCTCACTAATGGTAGTTTATGATTGCCGGAAGTGCTACTGCGTCGTAAGGTGTTTTCCTGAACGAACTGATATGGGATACATTCATTGGCACTATGGATTCAGACGCCATTTATTGCACTATTAAGTTTGACAACTTGACTCGTGGGTACCTAAATGTTTAGTGTTTTAATATTAATTTAATGCAAATGTATACATACCCAATAATATTAAAAAGAAAAACTAAATATATTCAATAAAAATCTTTGTTTTAACAAATGTACTGTACAATGTCGCAGCTCAGTAAATATGTCAACATTGAAATGAAAATCAGTCTGGCATAGGAAAAATTGGGGAATTACACTGCAAAACAACGAATTGCTTAGCGGCATTATTGTGAATCGGTGTAAATTGAGCCAGCGTGAACCGAGGGCTACCTGTATTTTCAAAGCTTAAAGAATTAACGAATAATGTTTTCTCGCACACTATTTTGAGGATCAAGATGTCCTAGGAAATTCAGTTTTTCACTCTTGGTATCAACATACATTGCAAATTCCAACTGTGGTTTATTTATATGAGTTTGTTATTCCTGTTATTAAATAAATTTTCTGTGTATATTAACAGTATCATATTTTCATGCAAATAACCTAAGAAAATTGCTAGAATAAAAATAGTCTTCACATAATTTATCCAGAGAATACTCCATGCTCGTGGAACAGCCATTGCTTTGTAGATGCAAGTTCATATGTGCAATTTAAAATTAGCATATAACCTGCACCCTGTTTCAAACTGTTTTTTAAACATAAATAATCCATAGCTAATCCTCATGAAAATATAGTATGTACATTAATTTTGCAAAAAACTGTTACTAACGCACTGATCCAAACTTTTCTCTATACCATATTTTAGAAGAATCTAAAAAATATGGAAAAAGAACAATATAATATATTTGATAAGTTCCATAATGTTTCAAAAGATAATTATAGAATTTGCTTGATCACCTTGACAAAAAAAAATAGAGCAGAAAAATAAATCGTATAAATCGCATAATTTTTTCTTATTATTAATCAAATCATTAAAATCTGTAACTATAATATTTTTCAATACAAATAGTTCCAGACATCATCTGTAACAAGATAAACACCTTTTGTAATTTAACAAACTAATAAATAAATTTATTTACTGACCTTAAAATAAGGACTAAATGAAGCCAACACAACTCTGTGGCAAGGATATTCTTCTTCTTCTACACATAATGTTACATCGCAAAATGTTTTTGTTAATCGCAAACTATTTAAACCAGCTAAAACCTGTCAATTTAAAATTTATATATTTAAATAAAAATTCACAAAAAAATAACATATTTTCTGATATAAGTTTTAAAATATTTCTATAACCAAATTTAAATTTTAAACTTAAAGCACTTTTTCAGTTTTATAAATTAAAATTGACTTCTTACATTACTACATCCATAAAATAATTATATAAACAAAAATATAACCACAACAAAAAAAAAAAAAACCTGGACACCATGTTATTTTAATCCATCTCTAGCTTATCCTCCAATAATATCAAACTGAAACAAAATGTTTCAGTTTTTTTTTTTTTTTGTTTCAGTTTTGTTGTTTCAGTCAAATTTTGTACACTTATAATTATTTTATTTTAGTAAACTTTTATTATAACTGAAGATTTCACATAAAAAATTTTCATGTTAATAATACATAAAAAAAGTTATGAGCAGTTGAAAAAAGCATGTGCAACCAAAGAAAAAAAAAGCTCGGACAGAGCCATTTCTGACAAATAATACCTCATAAAGACTCTGAAAGACAAATAATACCTGACAATACATTAAATGTGTAAATGAGATAAAATGTGATACTTGCATATTTTTTTTATTAACATTATTGAGGTGTATTTGTTTAATGAAAGAGGCACATGGTAAGGCTGTAAGTGTTGATGTGGATTTGTCCTGTCTATGAAGGATGATAATTACAGGTAAGCCCCATATAACACGGGAGTTACGTTCCAAAAAATTGCCATGTTATGCGAATCCGTGTTATACAAAACAAAGTACTAGTGCGAAAAAGGGGGGTTAGGTTCCAAAATTTAAAAAAACATGCTGTTAAATCCTTATTTAAATCAGATTTTTAAATACATTAGGTGTTTCAAATATATTGTTTGAAAAATATCTGTTTAAACCCAAGATCAGCCAAAATTGTCTTAATCTGTTTGAGATGAAATCAGCTGAACNTTTAAGTAAATATTTTACCAGAGGATTATTCATCCTATATGATGATCTCAGCATGAGCATCATCAACTGGTAACAGTTTTTGGGTGCATTCGTTAATAGTGGTCACTCCGCAACGGGAGTGCACTGCTGTTTGTAGGCATTTAGGAATGACAGCGAAAGAAAGATGGCAGCACCTGCACTGTTGATAGTATCATGATGGAGGAAGCTATAATTCTAAAATGAGCTTTTAGAGGCAAAAGAAGGGTCCCAATTGTAAAACTTAACCATTAAATGGATTATTTGTTGAAAGAGCATACAAAGTAGCCACAAAAACAATTAGAATGCTCAAGTGGAGTTACACGGAGGTATAAAAGAATACACCCTTTATTGCATTTCATGTTGTACGAGGGTTTTATTCAATTCCCGAACCGTGTTAGAGTGAACCCCTGCTATAAAAACACTGTGTTATACGGGGATGTTCCTAATTCTCGAACCGTGTTAAAGTGAATCTGTGCTATAGAAGTGCCGTATTATACGAGGGTTAGCTGTATTTCATGTACAGTACATCAAGTACATGAAGTAATTATCATCCTTCATAGACAGGACAAATCCTTAAGAAAAACTGCAAAGGAATTAAAAATTGGTAAATTCACAGTATGGGGACATTATTTCAAAATATCAGCAAATGGTAAAACTCATCCAGAATAATCAACTGGAAGGCCAGCAACCATAACAGACTGATCACAAGCACCTTCATGAAATAAAAAAATTGAGATGCATCACTTGGTGAATTAGTGAACAAATGGAATAAAGTTACTGGGAAGAAAGTTACAAAAGAAATTTGTCATATCCATATGCACAAACTTGGCTACAGGTTCTACCAGGTAATGAAATATTATTATTTTTTACTTAACAATTGTGATAAGTGACATTTCTTTAACAAAGGCAAACACTTCTCACAAAAACACAAAATTCAATTGAAGTGGGCCAAAAAGCACCAATGCTGGACACGACAACATTGGAAGCAGGTTGTTTTTAGTGATGAGGCAAAGTTTGAAGTCTACATTGGTGGCAATAGAAAAAAGTCATTAAAAAGCAAGAGGCATTCCATCTTGACTGTCTACAGTGCACTGTAAAATTTCCAGCAAGTGTTTATGGTATGGGTTGCTTGTCAACCCAAGGCATGGGAGATTTGCATTTCATTGTGGGATCAGTAAATGCAGCAAAATACCAATAAAATATCTTTCAGGAAACCTATTACCATCATTAGAAAAACTACAATATCACAAACATTTTATTTTCCAGCAAAATGGTGCAAGTTGCCATACTGCTAAAATCAGCAAAGCTTGCCTGGCCCAACACATTAAAATGGCCATCGAGTAGTCCCTACCTTTCCCCTGTAGAAAATGTGTGTGGTAAAATTAAAAAAGCATTGAGAAAATGTCCTCAAGGAAGTGTGGATGGTTTAAAGCAGGGGTGTCAAACCTTTTTGTTTCTCTGGGCCGCATTGGAAGAAGTCAAGGAGTTTTGGGCCACAAGTATATATAATATATACTTGTGGCCCAATATACAAGTATATTTAAGGATTAATGTGTCTAGATTATAATAATAAGTATAAAAACTTTATCACGAAAAAGGATATTTTAAAAAATTACTTCTACAGACACTCAATTTTTACTTAGAAATAGATAAATTCATTTATTATAAAAGAGAAATTGAAAATTTATTTGAAAAACACAAATATTTGTTTTATTTGGATCTCTAATTAATAAAAAGCAACGAAACACCATTTTAAAGTACATTTTTATTCGACTAATACATTTATAAATAATATGTAGCCCAAAAAGTAGCCAAAGCACCAAATTATATTTTTTACATCAAACTAAAAACAAGTAGCCACATTTGGCAAAATGTAGCCAAATCTTGCATTGCTGGAAGGAATACTAAATAAAGCTTGAGTTGTGACTCAAAGGATTATAGACCCAAATGCAGGGAAAGAAATGCAGGGTTCAGAAACACAGGGTTTCTGAACCCTGAATTGTCAGGTGAGGCCCCAACCTCATCTGACAATGCAAGTGAAGTGTACAGCTGAACTGAGGTCAATATATGGGTGATATACCATTTGTGCAAGGTTAAAGAAGACCCAGTCAAAGTTTTCACAAAGAAGGGAAACAACATTAATAGAAATTTGTTTTCAATTTCAATCTGCTATTAAGGTGGTTACTTAATAGCAGGTCAAAACTGAAAAAAGCAAATGCTTTCTTGGAGGGTGATGTTTCTGGGAACCAAGTGGAAATAATTGATCCTCTCCTAGAGGGAAGAGAAATACCATTTTTCTAATTTACAGGCAATCGTTAGAAAAAGTGTAACCCAATCCTTCAGGGAGAGTACATCCACATCAGAGTGAAAGGGTGATAACTTGTATATAAGGAACATTGATACTATTTGCATCATCACCTCCGTAGCAACAGGTCAAGGAATCAATCAGTATGAGAGAAGCAATGGATCATGACCAATCTGAACTAGGAATTTAGAGACAAACTGTATAAAAACCATGGTTCTCAAGGACACAGAATCCTCTTCATCTGTTGGTGCTTTCCATCCTTCTGCACACTTCTGTTGAAATCTTCAAAATAAACTCATAAGAAACCAGTCGTTTTTCCACAAAAGAGACTGAGCAACTCGGCATGATTTGCCTCACCCAGTACAAAGACCTCTGATGAAAAGACCTATGACCAGAACTCCAAGCCCAGACCCTGACTAATGCCAAGAATGAAGGAAAACTTCAGCTGTACTTAACATGAAGATGGTTGCTCAAGACAGTTGAAAACATTCATTTTCCTTCAGCATTTTGTTTTACAAGCTGGAGTTTTGATTTTTTAAGTGATACTTATAATTTACTTCCAGCATATAGTGTGCTTATTATTTTTAAAATCATTTTTATATTATTAATTATTATAAACTTTTTGAAACTTTATTACTGTTTTAAAAAAAAGAATAAAAGAAATGGAAAAATACTGTTTTCAAGGCATTTTATCAATGTTTTCAGAAAAAATAGGAACATACAACTGTGTTCACTTTTTTATTTTGGTTTTTACTTGTTTAAATAAATTTTACATAAGTATTTCTAAAGCCCAGTTCTAAAAAAAAATAAAGAAGTTGTAGATTTTAGATTTTAAGCAATATAGAAATGGGATTTCTGCACAATCTGAAAAAGAATAATGGCATCTAATATTATTATATTGAAAGTAGTACAGAAATCCATTTCTAAAATTAACAAATTTCATAAACTAACCTCAATTGGATGGGTAGATTCCACAAAATGATATTCGTCTTGCTCCAGTGTGCTAAAACTTGAACCTGAAAATGATTCTTGGCTATCACGTTGTTCTACGCTAATTTCGTCAGTTTGCCACGGTTCTTGAGAATTTTCTACTAATTGAAGATGTGGAGCAGAAAGATTTAAAGGCAATGCATTATACATTTTCAGAATTTAAAAGCAATCTGCCAATGAAGAAATACAACAGTAATTTATCCTTGTATTTCCAGAAACAAGACATGATTCTGTTTCATTTGTTGTTAACATCAACTTATGTTATAAAGATATCTTAATTTTTCTTTTTTTAGCCTTTACAATGACACTGCTCTATGTATTCCATAAGAAGTTTATGATAAAATGTATGCATATTTCCTGAAAAATATTCAAAGTTTATTTTTTTTTAAATTTATAAAATAAATTTTAATGTAATAAATAATTTACATATCATTTAAATAAACTATTTTTATTATATTAGTAAGGGAAAAAAGCAGTCAAAGATATAGTAGAATCTAAAGTAGTTATTATTGAAATAAAACATCTCAGACACAAAAAAATTATGCCAAGTTAGATAACAGTTAAATGTTTTCTTAAGAGTTTTTCTTCATTAAAAATAAGCTTGGCACTTCAAAGTAAAATGCAAAATACATTACAGGTAAAAATCTTGACTACTACTTCAAAACACCAAGCTTATCTTTATGAAAGAAAAATTCTTAAGGAAAAATTTGACTGTCATCTAAATTGTCATAATTTTTTACTTGGCATAATTGTTTTACATCTCAGAGATTATGTTTGGATATGAATTGTCTTTGGTTAATGATTGTGTTATTACATCAGGACTAAGACAATGACTTAACAGTTTGGTTGGCACTTGATGACACAACAGTTCCCAACTGAATGCTTTCAATATGCTGTTAGTAAAACTGTTATAAAAAATTTTAATTGACATAAATTTGATCATTTGTTATTCTAGATAACATTTTGAATAAAAATCATTCATTTAAATCCAATTTTATCCTTATAAGCATGAAATTAAGTGATAAAGGTAAAAAACTTTATGAGGAACCCAGTAAACTTTGACCTATTAACCAGGAAGTTTTGCCAGTACCTCACTAATTAATAACAAGAAAGGCTTAAGTTTAAAATTTGAGTTTTCTAGACCCAGTAGTATTTTCTTTAGGAATATCTACAGTGCCAGATGAAGAAAAGAATAAGAAAATACAGCTTTTTTGGTTATTTTTTGCACTTTTTGATTGTTATATTTTGGCAACCCTTTTATAGAAAAACCTGAAATTTTGCACACTACCTAAGAAAACAACTACCTTTCAAATGAGACATTCAGAATTACTATAGGCATTTTGGGCAGTAAAATCAACCCCCGAAAATCGGCAACTCTGATTCTTGTATATATAGTCAGCCATTGATTTTTTTATTTGGTGTAGAGTCACTGCAATAACTCTCGATAATCTTGAATATTGTTATTGGTCAATATTAAAGAATTAGCACATCTCAAAACATGTAAGATATACAGTACTTATAAAACTTTGTAATCAGAATTCAGTTATAATTATCATCTTTAGAGAGATACATTTAAGCTGTCTATTTGGCATTATCAGCCCCAATATGTAGTTGATAATATACAATCCCAATAAGTCTTAATCAATGCTTTAAATGTTAAACAATTATCATTTTATTAAAATATATAAATATAAAATTTCAACGTTTAACAATACTTTGTTTCCGTTTGTTCATCCGTCGTTCACTCCAGTTGACATTCCACAATTTTACAAACATGGAGGCAACCTTTCTTTGAGGCTACTACCTCCGCAATAAAATGCAAATATGGTAAAAAAAGTCCTCTGGTGCTATCGCCATTTTCACATAAAATACATTTTGAAGTAAATTAATAAATATAAACATGGCCGACAGTATTACATTTAATTAAAATATATATGTTTATATTTATTAATTTACTTCAAAATTATCATTTTAATCATTATTGTTTATATTACAGTAGTTTAAACTGGTGGCATTTCCTACTTCAATTATACACAAATTGCTGTTAAAGATTATCATGCAAAACATAGAAAGTAAACAATACTGAATGAATTATGATTAATTAATAATAATAATAATTAATAAATCTTCAAGTTAAAACAAAAAATGTAAACGTCATCTTTAATAATATCAGTCAATAAAAGCATAATTTTTGCAAAGGTACTTACCAAGCTTAATGTTATTGGTTAATCTTTATTATCAGTATAAATGAGCTCCAAAATAATAACATTCCTCTATTATATTAATAAAGGAAAACAATAATCTATCATTTAATTAAACTTCAAATAAACAATATAAAATTTCAATACGATAGCATTTTAGAATCATTTGGTTCATTCTCAGATAGTTTTTAATATAAGCAAATATTTTCAAATTTTCTTTAAATTACAGTATCTCTATTTAAATGGGATTTTAATACTTTATAAATTATTTAAAAATTAAAAACAAGATCTTCATAGACACTTTTAAGATCATTATTATTTACCACTAAAGTAAACAATATAACTAACATGCACTTAAATAAAATAAAATATAAAAATCATTAATAATTACTTAGTAATAATACATTAATACTTAATAACATACATTAATAATTAATTAGTAATTAATTAAACTCTAAATAATTTGTCTAGATAATCCGGCAATCATTTGGCTTTAACTATAAATTGGATTTGTGAGTTGATGTCTATATATACTTTTAAGGAATGTATCTACCAAGGATTACTTAAATATATGGAGCTTGGTCACTAATGGTGTATTGTCATATTTTCTGTGGCTTTAGTGTTTGTGAATAAGTTCAGTTTAATGTTGTAATGACAAGTGTCCAAATCATAACTGTTATGATTTTAACTTATTCTCAAGATAGGATGTTCAATTGTTTGTAGGATAATAATTATACCATAAAATAAAATTTTCAAATTTTCCTTAAAAAATTATACTTTTGTGACATCTGCCTTTAGTGAACCAAGGCCAAAATATAATTCTTTTATCATCCTTAATTAAACATCCAATATCATTTCCTTATATTATCTACAATTAATGATGTTTTAAGTCAACTGATCTTCAATTAGCCTATTTACTCCATTTTTTAACTTTAAATTCAAAGACAAAATTGCCAAGAGAGTTTCTAGAAGGTAAAAATCATTAACATTAACATTTTCAGAGCATAAAACATCTCAAATTCAGACTAATTCAAAACAAAATCAAATAGTTATTAACATTCTTAAATATAACAAGAAATTATCTATTGTGACATAGTCGCAATGCCGAGCTACATCTCAATTCAAAGTATGATTTTTCAAGGCTTAGAATGCTTTCATGATCATCATCACTTATGCTATACACATGTTGATGAAAGGAAAATTTTTACTTTCATCAACACTTCATGCACTTTAGTAAAGTTTGGCACAACCTTAGGTTCACCATATTCTTCTCCTTCTTTCCCATCCACATTTCCAGATGCTAGGAGGCTCTTGCACAGTTCATATAAAAATATACATAAATCTCAAACTTACAGAAAACCAATTCTGATTGTTTAGGGTCAGTGTGTGAAGGTTGGTCTTATCAGCATCCTAAATGTTGCAATTTTGTATTGGAAGGAGTTGCTAGAGTAATGAATTCTATTTTGTTTTGCTTAAAAATCTCCAGTTTGAGCCTAGCTGTATGGATCGTTACTCTGCTGAAACAAAAATGATCTCAATTCTAGTTTTTCTGCTGAATTCAATAAATTCCTGAATGAAATGTCAAAATAATACTTTGCATTCATTGTGTTATCTGTAAACTCCAATTGTCTGACTTCATTCCACTCTATACAGTCCCAAAAACTATCATGTTTTCATCACTGTGCTTTGAGGTGCCATGCAAGAAAGTAACATTCAAACTTTACCTTGCTTACTTCAAACTTTTCCCAGGCTGTCAGATTTAGGCTAAATATTGATTCATCACACTAAATTATGTTTTTCAAAAATAATTCAATAATGCTCTAAAGCAAACTGATACCTATCTTGTGCTGCTTTGTGAGGTTTGGCTTCAGTTTCACAATCCCACCAATTAAAAACAACTTCTCTAATGTGATTTCTGATTTGTTTGTTGATCTGATTTTATATCAATGTTTAAGTTATGTTTCATCTCTTGTCAGGAACATTATGAATTTTTTAATAATACAGACAATGGTGCAAATTCAACTACTCAAACTGTGTATACATTAATAAATACTGCACATATAACCAATATCCAGCAAGAAGAAACTACAAAGCAAACACTTTCATCCATGTTTAATGGGCATTGTCAGGCTAACTGACCTTCACAGTTTGAATTCAGCTGTTTAAAAGAACATGCTAGAAAAAGTTACTAGGAATATGTGATTGCCATCCATGTGTAAAAAGAGAGGTGACACCAGAGAAAGGAAGGGGAGAGTTGTAAGATTAAACTGACCTTCCATGCAGAGAGAAAGGACTCTAACAACTAAATTTGAACTGCAAATGTCAATTAGCCTGACGATGCCTAAAGGGCATCGTCAGGCTAAGTTTAAACACAGATGAAAACATTTGCTTTCTTGTAGTTTCTTTCTGCTGGATATTGATTATACATACACAGTGTTTATTAACAATGGTGCAGTAGTTAGCTTCTGTTGTTTTTCTTTTCCATCCTCTTCTCAGCATTACAANGGCATCGTCAGACTAAGTTTAAACACAGATGAAAACATTTGCTTTCTTGTAGTTTCTTTCTGCTGGATATTGATTATACATACACAGTGTTTATTAACAATGGTGCAGTAGTTAGCTTCTGTTGTTTTTCTTTTCCATCCTCTTCTCAGCATTACAATTATTTTTTCTTATTAGGTTATATATTAGCAATTCCAGTTGAGTGTTCAATCTGCCAATAATTTTTCCCTTATCAATTTTCTCTGCATCAACATACTTTGTCATATTCCTAAATTTAAAGTTAATCTGATATTTAGATTAGTATCACAACTGTTTGTCTTACATTTCATACTATTACATTTATGCTTGATTTATTGTTCTTAATTTATATATTTGCTTATATTATAATCTTTGTCCAATTAATTATTTTGCATTTTCATATATTCCTTCTACTTTTGTTTAATTTTAATAAATTATTAATTAAGTTATTTAAAATATTTATGACCAAAATATTATCACATTTTCAACAATTTCTTTCATTTAACACAGGAATAATCAAGTTTTTTATACCTACCACCCACTTTTGTATCTTTGTTCGTAGTAAAATTTTCTAACCACCCACTGGTTCCGCAGTAAGTTAATTTAGCGCAACTGCAAAGTACTCATAATTTTTGAGTGCTGATTTAGTAAAAATATGCAGTTAAATTTATCTTTTTGTTTATATTTTGCATATGTTTATAACACAGAAATTTTTTGCCAATGCACCAAGTGTTTTTTTTATGTCAAACTGGAAAAAGTAGTTAAATCTGGCAACCCCACCACAAAACAAGCTCAAGTGATGGCCACTGTTACAGTACAACCTGCTCCACGAATGAGTCATAGATGTGTGGTGATAATGGAAAGTAGCTTTGGCATCAGACAAAACCCCTACCGACCACCACGAAAACTCAAATTTCCCACTACAGTAGTGGGCAGTAGGGACCAGTATGACCACCACTGATTTAACATCTAAAATACTTAAAACAATCACCACAATTAACTTTCATTTTGCTGCTAATGCCATTTATGGGTTTATTTTTTGCTCACTGTACATCATCTTCAAATTTAAATACTGGTATTTGGTACTTGTACTTGAAATACCTTATATACAGTAAGCTTAACTGATTCGATATAACGTGGTCTTAACTGATATACAGTAAGCTGATTCAATATAACGTGGTCTGCTCTAAGCCTAAAAAAAGCTCAAAATTTACGCTGATTTAAATTATTGCAGCATTTCATTGACTTGTATATAATACTAGCTTACCCGTCACGCATTGCTGCGATCTCAGAAGAAACGAAATTCAAGCAAACTCGTTATGATAAAATTCAATTTACATTTTATCATTTTTATTGAAACTTATTATTATTATATTATTATTAATTTCATTGGGAAAACATTTCAAAGTGCCGTTTCAATTCTATTTATTTATTGGAGTGCTTGTGGATACACAATATTTTTTGTTTTTCCGTCTGGTGCGTACACGAATAAATCAGAAGGTTTTCCAACGCGTGAGCCGGCCACATACAGTTGTCCACGCGAGAAACACGCATTCTCCAAATTTCGCCCACACACTCACAGCGATTGTCAGAAGTGCGATATTCCCCATTTTTATATATATTTTTTAATTCTTTACAATTTTAATTATTTAATTGCTCCTTCCTTTCTTCCTTGGCGTGTTGTGAAATTTCTGATAGTCGGATAATAAACCGTTTTATTGTAATTTGTCTTTTTAAATTATTTTGAGTCAATATTAAAATTTGGAAAAGGGGATCCCTAGATCGGTAAAATAGGTGAATTTCCTCCTACAACTTTGGTTGTTGTTCAGGACACAGTTAAGGTTTTAACAAAGTTTGAGCGAATACATAATTAGCAAAAAAAAAAAGTTGAAATAAAGTGATTAAACAAAAATTATTACAAATATCGTAAATAACAGTTCACAAATGCATATATAGAGATATTTTTTGGAGAGGGGAAATGGTCTTCACAATTTGAAATCGATCAAACACATAGTGATATGCTCATATAAATGCGCGCCATCTATCGTAGGATAAATGTACTATGCCATAAACCTTCGCGGGAGTATATTTAATGACTTCCCAAAGTTTCACAGCAATCGGATAAATGGTGTGGTAATGCATGAAGGACAGACAGACACACATACATTCATTTTTATATATATAGATGATTATTTGCGAACATGAACCAATCAGCAAAAGATGGCAATTCATCATAGTGCTGTACTTTCCTTAAATCTATGTTTGTTTTGTGCAATTTTGGAAAAAATATAATGCAGGTTTCTGGCGAGAGCCTTACCAACAACGACCTTCAAGAACTGGCAGAACAAGGAATTCGTGTAGAACTGGAAAATAGTGATTCTGATAACGAAGAACCTAAAAAATTTCTCTACAGCTTTCCTTAGTAAAAGTTTGGTAATGACAACAAAAATCGTTGATCAAATTGTAGTGAATGATCCAGATTTTGAAAGGAGTGCAAAAGCAAAACGAGCATTTTGGATGTGATCTTCTGCTACCGACATTTGCTTAAGGAAATAAAAAAAAGCGACAAATAAAACACACAACTTTATGACAAAAAAGAATTTCAGAAAAGCCAGGGCCATCATCACAAAAAATAAACTTTAGATTTCTGTGTGCATATGTTTGTGTGTTATTTAACATATATTATTCTGCAAATTAATATAAAAATAACTTAAAATTAAAAGTAAATCTTTTCTTTTTGGTTGAGTGTTCCCCTTTCCCTATTTACTCTATATTAAAATGACCCGGTTTTGCACTGTTTTGTTTAGCGCTTTGTCCTCTAGGAATGCATCTCCTGCGTTAAGTGGGGTCTTACTGTATTTATTTTTGTCCCTTGTCACAACCTCTCTTTGAGTATCCATGTAAATGACTTTGCAAAAGTTTTTCATTTCTTTTTCAGCTACCTCTTAAGAATTCTTCTTCACTTATGTTTCTGAATAATAATAAATATTTCTGTTGAAGACATTCAAAAATTTTTCTCTGAATTATATTTTCATAAATACAGGGATAATTTATACACCAATGACCCATGCACCATTTCACAGTGTGTCCTGGGAAGGCTTCCCATGGAAATACCCTGGTTCTGAATGTATGTGACACCATTAAAAGTTAAAAACCATTAAAGATTAAAGTGATTAATGCAATTTTTAAGGTATTTTTGGAGTTTAATTATGCATCTCTTCATTCTATTTTGACTAAGCTCGTCAAATATCAATAAGTACTTATAAATGAATTTATTTCAACCAGAATAGCTTGTACTATGTCAGTGTTTTTCAACCTGTGGGTCGCGACCCCCAGGGGGTCACAAAGCCTTACACAGGGGGGTCACGGGTAAAAGAAAAAGACAAGTGTTTGTAGGTCCTATACTACAATAAAAAAAGTACAATCTCAGTGAGAAGGCTGTACCTGTTTATTTTACAGTACAATTGGCTTTTTGATCGCTATTTAAGTCTCAACAGAAAGAAACTTAATTAAATACGTAGTTTTTAAAATCACTGACATAGTTTTAATATGGCCCTGAGGGGTCGCCAGAATTTTTTAACTTGTAAAGGGGTCGCTTATTCAAGAAGGTTGAAAAACACTGTATTATGTGATCAAAACAGACAGATCCCACACTTCATTTCAGACACTTTCATCAAACCATTATGATTGAAACAATTTTTGAACCAAATATAAACTCTCAAATTTGCTTTCAAAACATACAAACTCTTATTAATTAGCTGATGTTTTCAACTTTTAAAATGCAATTAAATCAATATATATATATATCTATCAGACTTTACTTTCATGCAGAATATATTTCTGTATATTGAATTGTGTATATATATCTATATATATATATAAAAATGGACATGTATGTCCCTATATTTCACTTTTTCGCCAAAACTACACATCGCACGTGAATGGTGTTTGTATGTGGTGGTAGCCCCAAGTCTCCATTCGTGCATAGGGGTGGTTGCGTCTCGATAGCTATAAGGGTATGGGAGATATGAGGCTGAAAGTGGTTGAAAGTGGCTTTCTATTTCGAATGTTTTGTTCGATTTTTTCGAATTTGTTCGAATTAAATTCGAACATAAAATTCGAATTGGTTCGATTATAGAACGATTGAAAACATTCCAGAAACGTTGAAATTTGTTCGTTTGACTAAACGTAAAAATTCTCTAATTAGTCTGGAAACGGGGG